GTGTGTGCCCATGGTACCAGGAATTGAACTCATGACTTCTGTTTGCCAGGCAGGCGCTGTGCCACTGAGCTATATCCCTGGCCCTTACTTTCGTGAATAAACTTGGCTATTGCTTTTTGTTCATTTTGTTGAACTCTGCTCCAGAGGAAAACCTGGAATCTAATTCCAGAAGGAATGGCAAGCAACCTAGAACCCAGTAACATCTAGTTGGCAAGCCACTTTCAGAGGAGCTATCCAATAGCACATATTATTTCATCAAATACTACAGCAGTCCTCTAGGGGGAGGTACTAATATTTCCATGTTATGAAGACACTAAGACATACAGAAGCTATGTAAAGAGCCAGACCCAAAAATGTGGAGCCATGCTTCAAAACTTGTGTTCTAGAATCTCTAGTACACGCCCTTAATCACCATACTGGTTAAAGAGACACATCTTTTAGATTTGTCTAGTACTGCTATACATGGGTACTTGAAGGCTGGGTTGTACAACCCAACTTGAAAACCCGGGAACTTTGTAGACACTCAACAGGTCCATCCAAGGTCTTAAAGCATTAAAGCTGCTTGGAGCAGGAATATTTTAGGCACAGCATGACACTTATGTGGCCCACAAACCCTCTGAATTTACCAGCCTGTAAAGTTCTAGGCAGGAACCAGAGGCAGTTGATGTTACAGAGGCAACCTCCAAAATAAAGAAGGGCTAGAAGATTGCTAAGGAGCATGAATCACATCCTGCCGGTGAGAATGGAGTAGAAAGAAGTTTAAGCAGCTAAAATTATCCTAGAATGTAGAATGTGAGCTGCAGAGAAATGCAAAAAAAAAAAAAAAAAAAAAAAAATCTTTAGCAATGTGAGTCACCTCTACCCGTGAACTCTCTTGTTCAGGTTTGCAGTTACACCAGACATGAGTGTGGAGGGCAGTGGCTGCACTTTTCTCTGGATTTGCAACTATAGATTTCTGCATTAGCTTTGCTCAAATAATTATGGAACCAACTAGTGCAACTCGTGCTTGGAAGGGAGCTTCTAGAACAGTCCATAGGTCTGAGGAAGCAGCAACTAGACTTCTCTTTATAGCAGTGTCCAGATAGGGAAATGCTTGATCCTGAAGCAGGGATCTCATCAGTGAGATGATGTGCCCAGCACAAGCCTTGAGCGGTGCCAGAATATGATAAGTATGCGCACATGAGTGGACTATGTGAGCAGGAACTCACTCTCAACAGGCTTTTTTTCTACCTAGAACACTATTTCCTTCGTAGCAATTATCACATGTTGTAGCTATTTCTCCTCTTTCAGAGCCCGTCTTCCAACAGCTTACGCCTGCAAGCCAGGACCCTGAGGCAGCCAGAACCGCGTCTGGCTCCGTTTCCCCAGAAGAAAGGCACGGGCAGAGCCGAGGCCGCGAGTTCTCCCATTCCACCGCCAGCTGAGAAAGTGAGGAGATTGCGAAGGACAGGGGACGGAGTCTGAGAGCCCCGAGGCAAAGGAGACCGCATGCGGGTTCAGGGCCACTCCCGCGCAGGGTTCTGGGAGATGTAGGCGCGTTCCTTCCCTTCTCCTTCAGCCGCAAGCTCCCCGAACCCAAGGACGTCCAGACGGTGGGCGCCCCACCACCCAGGATGCGGGTTCCGGGCTCGGATTCCTGGCGGCGACCGCCCCGCCCCTCTATGGCGGCTTCCGGCGCGCGGCATTATGGGTGCCGTAGTTCCGTGAGCTTCGGCCCACGCCCCATGGCTGCGGACTGGACTACATTTCCCCTCAGCCAGCCCGCCGCCCGCCCTCGCGGCCCCTCGGCGCCAGACACTGGCGAGCCGAGTGTCTCCAAGATGGCCGCGTGGGGAAGGAGGCGTCTGGGCCCAGGCAGCAGTGGCGGCAGCGCCCGAGAGAGGTAAGGGTCAGCGGCTCGCTGCTCCCAGGAGGCGGCTCGCAGTCAGGGAGCTGACAATGCCTGGGTTCTCGCGCCCTTTGTGCCTGGGCTCCGCTGCCCCGCCGGGCACACGGTTCGGGCAGGGGGCACCCAGACTCGGGAGTGGGCCGGTGCGGCCTTCGCAGGGCCCGGCGGTCCGGGAGAGAGTGTCGGCGGGTGGCACAGGGGGAGGGGTCTGGCTGTGCTGGGCAGGGGCTGGGCCCGGCCGGGAGAACGCGATTCCCGCGTAGGCCCAGGCCCTGGCCAGTCTTGCTGTCCGTGGCCAAGCGTCGTCCGAGTCCCTGCCCCGCTGTGTCACGCACGTGGTCGTGTCGGCCGCGGCTCCAAACGTGGCGAGGTGGAAAGGAAGGGAAGGCTTGGCGGGCCGTGCGATGCGCACGTTTACATTGAAGTCTGACTCTCCCTAGTAAGTAATGTCTCCCAGCCGAGGTCTAGCCACTTTCACTATGGACATTCCCGGTGACTGACTGTTGGAGGTTTCTGTGCAAGGGCTCCTGCCCTGGAAGTCCTTTACTGTGACCTTTCCTAGTGTGATTAGAGTGCTAAGAGCTTGTTGCTTCCAGAGTGGGCCTCAGTTTCCAGAAGATGAGACTGGAGTAGTTTCCGTGTTGCACTTACAAGTTTTGCTTGTGGAAAGCGTCTTTTGTTAGAAGCTACTAAAATCTGGCCACTAGAAATTTGGAAGAGGAGTGTTTGTATATCTGTAGAGCCATTTGGGTTAAACTGTTTTGTTTTGCTAAGTTTGTTTGGCATAGAAGAGTTCAGGAGAAAGGCAAGTTTTGGTTTTGCTTTTTTGGTTGTTTCGGGAAGGATTGTCAAACAGAAAAGTTTTATCAGCGACTCTGGATTATTCCTTTTTTCTGATTGATTCTATTCTAATTCCCCAGCCCAAAAGATTCTTCCTATTTGGCAGTTACGACAGCTTACATTTTATTCTTGAGCTTACGGTTATCCAACATTGTCCTGCATTTCCTGTTCCTTGGAAGTGCAGTGGCAGGGAGTTTTAATTCCCACTTGATAATTCTCAGACACCATTAAAAGAAATTACCTCTGTAGTTTGCATATATTGTTAAAACCCAGAACTTTATAAAGATTTTTATCACAAACATTAATTCTGCAGTAATAAGAAATGAACTGCTTAGAAAGCTCACATCAGCGGGAAAGGTGTTCTTCCCTGGATAAAAACAGCTGAAAGGGCCCAACAGGGATACCTTAAAAGTAGTGCAGGTGACTGGGCATGGTGGTGCATGCCTCTAATCCTAGAGCTCTGATAGGCTGAGGCAGGGGGATGGAAAATTTAAGCCCAGCCTGAGCAGTTCAGTGAGAGCCAATCTCGAGATTTTAAAGAAGTTTTTTAAAGATTAAAATATTTTAAAAAGCGTTGTGGTCCATGGAAAGGCCCTGGGTTCAATTCCAAAATAAAACACTGAAGCCCAAACATTATAGGAACCTTGTCATTAACCTTTTACTGATCTAAGAAAATAGATACTGGGAATTATTTTTCCTTTGACTTGAAACAAGTGCTAATTCAAGAGTTGCCAACCAGTTTATGGGCTGAACCCATCTTTGTTGAGCCTCCATGGCTTTTGTTGTGTTGTCTTGTTTGCAGTGCTGGGAATCCACACCTTGTGCATGATAGGCAAGTGCTCTACTACTGAGCTACTCCTCCATCCCCCTCAGTAGCCTTTAAGAGAATAGAAATTAGTTTCCAACAGATTTCACATAAAAGATTCAGCAAAACTGGGTATAGGTTGACTTGGTAAATGCTTTGTAATTCGATGTAATTCACCTGGCACACTTACTGCAGTTAACCAGCTTGGTCCCTGTACGTGTTCTGGTTGCAAACTTGGACAACAAACCCAAGGCTGTACTCATACATACAGATGTGTGTCAGCCAGGAATGAGGTGTCTGATTTTGTAGTTTGAGACTCACCAGCTGTTTTGTTTCCAGATAATGTTATGTGGCTAAAGGTTAGCCCCCACACCCCTTTGCTGTAAGGCCCTAGCCAGGTATCATGGGAGAATTGTTTACCCTAAGTCCATCATCCCTAAGAACTTCCCTTGCCCAGCAGGACATGGAAACATAACTTGCCCTCGCCTGTGAGCTAACTGTTGGGCATACCTTTATTCCTGCTCAGTGGCATGACTGGGTGGGGGCAAGCTGGATTAATTGATAGCCCAGCACCATACATTATGAGGCCCAAGTTTATTATTGGCCCTCATGACTGAAGTAGGCTGTTTACAGCTCCTAAATGACTTTGTTCCATGACACATTCAGACTGACTCAGATTTCAGCTCCACTGTAAGAACACTTTCCCAAATTGCTGCTCACACCTGGTTGGCATCTGCTGTAAGCCGAAACTAAAGGGAATGCTATATGGGGTGGGGGCTGGAGCAGAGCAGAGCAACATTTTTACAAACTTGCCAGAATTGTCAGTGGCTGCAGAGTGTGCAACATGTTTTGTATTTATTTGTTTGTTTGTTTAATACCAGGAATCAAACTCAGGACTTTGCACTTGCCAGGCAGGTGCTCATACTATATGCTGCTGAACTATACCCCTGGCCACATGCTTTGTATTTAAAGGTCTACCTAATGCCACAGTCTGTTCACACACAGCATGTAGTATATGGGTTCTGTCTTTACTTGGTTCTTAAGTCTAGAAACACAGCTGTAGCACTAGAGCTAAGTGATTCAATTATCATGTGACAATTACATTTTTGAGACAGTGTCACTATGCAATTTAGGCTCACCTTGAATTCACAGTGATTCTCCTGCCTCAGCTTTCCAAGTGCTAGGATTATAAGCATGTGCCACCATGCCTAGCAACAGTTACATTTAAATTAATTAAGATTAAATACAATGGAAAAATCAGCTCTTCACTCTCAACCAGCCATATATTTCAGGAGCCAGGTAGCTAATAGCTACCATTGTTAGACAGCACATATAGAGGGCATTTCCATCACTGCAGAGTTCTATAGGTATGGCTGTACTGTTCTCTAGACTAAAATAGGAGGGGTAGAAATAGTAAACTAATAGCTGCTTGCATGTTGATTTTTCTCTCCACTCCATTAAATCTAGGGAATCAACAGTATTTGTAATGAAGAACATCAGACTCTGAGCTGTAACTTGAATTCTTGTCCAGAATTCAGCATACTGGCAGCGAGCACATCATACAGATTGCCACTTGTCCTGCCGGCGTCTTTGAGGCACACTTGCGCATCTAGGAAAGTACAGAGCAGGTATCTGTGTGTTCTGCTACCTGTGTGCCAGCCTGGACCAGCTCACAGACAGCCCCACCTGTCTTGGGCTGCTTGGTGCTGCTCTCTCAGGGCCTCTGAGCATCTCTGAGTTCTCCGTGTTTACTGGAATGTGAGTATAGCCTTGTGCTCTGAATTCTTGTCATGTGAAGATGTGTTTGATCTGTGGCTGAGCATGATGAAGGCAGCCTGGGTGTTCAGCTTCCAGAGTGTGACAGTTTTCTGCTGCCTTTCCTGCCCCAGCCTCTGCAGCCATCTGCACTAGCTTTTAAGCAGCCAGTTCCATGGGATTACTATGGGGTCATTTCTGCATCTTTCTCTGCCACCTTAGAGGGCTGAGTTTTTATCTGTGAACACAAATGGACAGGGTCCAGATGGTCGTTGTGGGATTTAGTGTCCACTCCAGCTGAATAGATAGCCAGCCTTGTTGGCAGGTTAGTTTTTGTTCCTAAGGAGACAGACACTCTTCTTGGTCAGATCCTTCACTTTTAGAACTGGGTACTCTTGGAGTTGGGATATTTAACTTCTGACTTTTACATATAGAGAAAATTTTTCTTTCCTCTTTGTCTGGAGGAGATGAGTAGACACAGGGTTTGCACCCATGTCTGTCAGTGTGTAGCTACTTGGGCTGGGTTCTTCTGCTCAGGTGGCAGGTGGTCAGTGAAGAATGGTGTCACCCACGGCTGGAACGCACATTGTGTTTGTAGCGCTAGAAAGTTTAGATTAGGATCTGCAATGGTTTGAGACATTTCTGGGTTTTTTTATTCACTTAGACAGTTTACATTCCAGTTGCATTGATTTATTCCTCTATGGTTCATTCAAGCCACATTCCAGTGGAGACCTACCTTTCTGACATGGGGAAGTCTTATCCTATGTGAGGGAGGTGGTTGAGGCCAAGGGTTCTCTGCCAGAGCCTGAGCTGGGCATGTCTTTCTCTGTGAGCCGAGGGGCTGTGGCCATTGGTCAGGGGTGCTCTGTCAGCAAGCACAAAGGAACTGCCCATGTTCTTTCCTGGTGCTTTGGGTGAGGCAGGGCCTTTAACCCTACTTGACATGAAAAAGCTGGCTCCAAGTAGAAAGTGCTTTGCTCCTGGACACAATGCCAGTAATTAAGTGAGAGGGAACTAGAACCCTAGCTCCTTGATATTATACTTGGCACTCTGTTGTTATTCCCCAGGTGGAGGAGCTGCTCAGTTACTAGACCACAGAGGAGGAGCGTGACCTCTTGCACATGGTTGTCTCTGAGACAGTTAAAAGACTCAGGTGCCTGGTGAGACTTCCTTGGACTCTTTGGAACTGCCCTCATATTTGGGCCTGTCTGCCTGTTCCTGTCTGTGCTGCCCTTTAATCAGGAGCATAGGGTTTGATTGCTTAATCTTTCTCCTTTCTTTAGGGGCCTGAGGAAGCAATGCTGGGTTAGCCAAAAGTGGGTTTCCTGGATCCTGGAGGCAGGGATTGAGGTACATACAGTCCAGCACTTCATACCACTCATTTATGAGGTGAACCTTACATGGACCCACTTTAATTTTTCAGATACCAGTTCTCTTATTAATTACCATCATTATTTTTCTTCACCCCTTGCACTAGTGTCTCTTGGAAGCTTGTTACATTGAGGCCTATTGCTGGGGATGCTGTGAGGATAACAGTCTCTCTCTTCAGTGAGCTCAATCATCCCTTGTGTTCTAGATGTAAGTTCACACTTGAATCTTGTCTGAGTGCCCAGGGCCCAAGTCTGAGAAGTGGGCTAAAGTCACTATAGATAGATAGGGTTTTTCTGGGTCTAGCAAGATAAATTTAAAAACGATGGAAGCTTGTTGGGCACTATGACCAGTGCTTGCTTGAGTGAAACAGGGAAATGGGAGATTTTGCCACTTCTCTGGCAGGACTGCCAGGATATGAGACCAGCACACTTTGGCCTTTGATGGCTTCTCATACCAGACGGGTAGGGCTGATGGTCTCATCCCTGGGGATTCTCATTGGTTACTGAGAAGATTCTAGGACAGGAAGTGGCTGCCTCCTGCTCTCCTTGGCAGGAGAGGTCTTTTTACCTCAAGAGATACAAATTGTTAAATGAGACTTTTCTTTGTAAGAAAATTTTATAATTATTTTCTCCATTATAAAAGAAGCACTTTTTTTCTTTTCTGTTTTTCCCCCCTTCCCTGTCTCCTTCTCTTCTCCTATTCTTTTTTCTTTCTTAGTTCAGGAAAGAAACGGAAAAGCAAGAAGGAAAACTTTAATGGGTCACCACCACGTGAAGAAGAACCTCATACCTATTAGCATGGTTGTTAAGAAGAAACAAAGTTGGCAAGGACTTAGAAAAATTGGAGCTCTTATGCAGTGTTGGTGGGAAGGTAGAGTGACTGGTATAGTCTCTATGGAAAACAGTGTGGCAGTCCTCAAAAATCTAAAAACATCCAGCAATTCCACTTCGAGGTATATACTCAAAAGATTTGCAGATGAACTCATGATACAATAATGTTGTATTATACATGTGATTCAATAGTCAAAAGTGGAAACAACCTAGGTTCCCATTGGCAGATTCATACATAAACAAAGATGTTGTAGCCATACAAAGGAATATTAATCTGAAAAGGGAAGGAGATTTTGGTACATAGTAGATTATGGCCAAACCTTAAAGAGATTATACTAAGTGAAATAGCCAGTCACAAAAAGGCAAATACAGTGATTCCATTCATGAAACCCCAAGAATAGTCAAATTCATAGAAACTGAAAAGTAAAGTGGTGGTTGTCAGGGGCTAGGGGTAGCTGGGAGTTGTTTATCTGATATAGAATTTTGGTTTTGTAAGATGGAAAAGTTTTGGAGATTAGTTGTACAATATTGTGAACTTACTTAAAACTTCTAAATTGTATGTTTCAAATTATTAAATTGATAAATTTTATATGTGCATTTTGTCACAAAAATAGTAACAGGTGTGCCTATAAGTGGTGGTGCACACTTACAATGGGAGACTGAGGCAGGAGGATCACAAGCTTGGGGCCAGCCTGTGCAACTTGAAACCCTCTTTTAAAATAAAAATAAAAAGATCTGAGGAAGTAGTTTAGCACTATCTTGGTTCAATCCTAGTACCAGACAAATAAATAAAATAAACCTAACCCTGTGCTCACCACTGCTCTTAACAAGTAGAAAGCTACCCAACCTTGGCACACATGTGCTATTTCAAGCAGAAGCCACTTTGCTTCTGGCACTTTGTTGTGTAGTGCCAACAGACCTACCTAGCATATACCTTGGCTCTGTGGAGTGAAGGAGGGAGACAGGCACAAAGGCCCAGTCCTGGCTACCTGTAACCTGAGGTAGCATACCTGTGCCAAGGCAGTATTTGGGGCAGTAGCTGCAGTGACCCCCTGAGGTGCCCCCAACAGGTTACCACCTGTTCCAACTAGGCCTCAGAGGGTGCATAGTGACCAGTGTTGGCAGAGTGTGTTTTGGATGATGATCCTGTTTCTTCAATGCCAGATGTCAGAGGCTGTGCCAAGTTTAAAAGGATCAGGGGTCATTTAGTAAAAACATACTTCCTTTTGTTTTTTTTATCCTGAGCCACTCAGAATCCTTCCCTAGTTAGACGTATTCTCCGGTCTTTTTATATCCTTTCAGAAATTTTATGTATGAAAGCACATAGATACCTTTAAAATATATAGATGGTATATTATAAACTTTCTGTAGCTTTCTCCTTGATTGTCCAATCTTTTCAGTTAATCAGTGCCACCTCTTTTTTGAACATAATAGTCTCCTAGTGATCATATGTGCAATGAAAGTAAAAATATAGTCCCTTAGGGAACCCTGAGCTAAAAACAAAACAAAAATCCTACTAGGTACAGGTTGAACATCCCTAATCTGAAGCTTTTTGAGGGCTAGTGTGATACCACAAATAGAAAATTGCACACTGGTACATGTGACAGGTCCCATTCAAAACAGGTGCAAGCTGGGTAGCGTGACACACACCTGTAATCTCAGCACTCTAGGAGGTTGAGGCAGGTGGAGTCAAGTTTGAGCCCAGCCTGGGCAACTTAGTGAGGCCCTGTCTAAAAAGCAGGTAAACAAACAAAAGGGCTGGGGGTATAGTTCAGTGGAAAGGCCCTGGCTTCAATCCCCAGTACCATAAAACAACAAAAAACCCATATGTATAGTAAAATATTGTATGAAATATCTTTAGGCTATGTGGATATTTGTAAGTGAATTTCATGATCAGGTTTTGATCCCATTCCCAAGATAGATTATAAGCAAATAATCCCAAATTTGGAAAATACAAAATCCCAAACATTTTTTACGTTTGGATAAAGGAGACTTATTTAGCTTATATTGCCTTTTCTCCCACCCTGTGGTACTGAGCATCAAATCTAGGGTCACTACCGTTGAGCAGTGCCCCTAGCTCTTTTCATATACATATTTTTAAATGTTGAATCAGAATCTTACTAGGTTACACAGGCTGGGCTCAAACTTGTGGTCCTCCTGCTTCACATACCCCAGTAGTTATGATTAGAGGCATGTGCCACCATGCCCAGTTGTATTGCCTTTTTTTTTTTCTTTCTTTCTTTCTTTCTTTCTTTCTTTCTTTCTTTCTTTCTTTCTTTCTTTCTTTCTTTCTTTCTTTCTTTTTTGGTCTTTTTGAGACAGACAGAGTCTCACTACACAGTTCTGGCTGGCCTTGGGCTCATTTTATAGCCCGGGCTACAAACTTGCAATGATCTGTCTGCCTCAGCCTTTCAAGTGCTAGGATTACTGGAGTGTGCCCCCGCACCTGGCTGGTATTGCTTTTTAAAAAATCATCTTCCATGTACCAGAAGTCAGGCTGTTGGGTACTGAGGCCTATGGCCTTAGCAACTAGGGGTCAGATGGTGCTGCTCTGATGAATCCAGGCAGCTTTCCATCGAGTTCTTAGCCAGGTCACATTTGACACAGAAACCAAAGCCAGCCATTGAGGCTGAGTGCTGGGGTAGATGAGAGATAGCTGGACTTGTCTCTCTCCTAGGAAGCTCAGCTACCAGTTTCTGAAGTAAATGAGTCCAGAGTCCATATTAGCAGTATAGACCTACCCTTTAATACCTGCTGGGGTACTGACTTTAATCTGATGTGGTAGACCCCAACAGAGGGATACTCCTGCTTTTTGTGTCTAGTTTGGTTCTGAAACTTTTACTTCCTTCCATTATACATCTTAAGGGATCCCAGAAATCTGCTTCTGTAGATGTCAGTTTTATTCTGTCCAGTAAATGCTGAAAAACCCCTTTACTGGCTTCACAGCAGACTTGATGAGTCTAAGCCTTGGGCAGGTATGCATGGCACAGCTAAAGGAATTTCCCTTGTGTGAAGAGCCTGGGTTCTTCCACTGGCTGTGCCCCTGATTTCAGATGGTGGATCACTGGGTTAAGTCTAAGTCCCATGTTTGCCTTAGTGAAGGAGGTGGACTGAGCTGTCCAGAAGGAGACACTGCTTGGCGGGCAGTGAGGAGCTCACGTCTCTTGCAATGTATGTGTTGGGTGTACAATGCTGGCTGCACGCTCTAGTGATCACAGGACTCCTGTAGCCAAAGGCAGAGGCTCCCTGAGCTCCAGTTGATGGAACATCTGTGACCCAGGAGTGCCTTACTGACCGAGTGTCAGCTTTCTGTTGCTCCCGTGCTATGCGTGGGACACCTCGTAACAGAAACGAGGCAGAAGGAGCAGAGTGGCCTCTTACCTTCCACATACGTTAGGACTCGTTCACACACTTGCTGATCTCCTTGACAGATGGCAGGAACCAGCCTTGCCCACCACACCTGCCTGCCTAAGGAACCTGAGTGAGCACTCCCTGTAGCGGGGTGAGGGCAGGTGAATATGGGTACCTTCTTGGGCTTGCAGAGGGAGCTGGAAACTGTCAAGGGTCCTGGGAGGTGACACATGCTTATTGATATACTTCCAAAATGGAGTGATATGTTCCAGGTTAAGGAACTGGCTATTGCTTACTGGGACAGTATTTTTCACATTAAGGATGGCTGCAGGCCTGCAGTAGGGACCGAGGAGGACACAATACCAGAGGGTGAATTAGGGGCTTGGCAAGAATATTCTGTAACCCTAACTTGACACCACTGTTTGCTTTGAGGGTTCCCCTGGGATACATACTTTCCTGTGATGACCCACAGACATATGTCTCTGGACTCAAACTTTGAAAGTCTACAGGACACAACTGGTTTGATGACTTTTCCATTTCACAGATGGGAGCATGATTTGACTCTTCAGTCTCCTGTTCTTTGGTCCCTTGGGCTCTTGGAGGATGATGTTGAGGGTTTCCACAAGGAAATCTGTGGGCCACGAGCTCTGGAACGTAGGGGTGGAGTCCTGCCCCTCCCATACGTGGGTAGCAGTCATCCTCATATTGTGATAGAATTTCTGTGTGATTGCATGAGAGCTAATGGCCCATCCTCCTCCAGCTGGAGCAAAACTTTGCCTCAGGCTTGCTTATTTATTTAAGGTGGCTTAAAATGCTGAATCCTGCTTGGGAAAAATAGCTGCAGTGACTTCCCTCAACTCTTTTCTGAGTTTTCTCCAAACACGGAAACTTCACAGAGGACGGTAAAGGAAAAACCCCGTTTTCCTGGGTCATTTTATCAATTACCTGTGTGATGACTGGCACTCTGTTACAGGCTTATCAGGGAGCAAATTTCTCCTCAGTGCTTGCATTTAATCAGGACCTGTGTTTAATTAGGAGGCTCTGCCTTAGCCCCACTTGATTCCAGTTGCTTTTAGGCTTAAGATTTCCCTTTGCCTGAGTCTAACCAGTGCCTTTTAGGAAAGGGGCACCCACCTAGGAGTGGGGACTCCCTCTGATTTGGGAGCAGTCAGCCCATTACTGATGACTTTTGTTTCTGATAGACTGTTAGAACATTAATCAAACCTTCATTCAGCTGAAGTAAAACTCTGCTTCTGAGGCTTGCTTATCTGCTTCCTCGGTCAGCTTTGCTTGCTTGTGCTCTCTCTCCCAGCTCTCCTTCCCTGTCCCCAACACCTTTCTTTCTCCTCAGTCAACTCTGAAGTGCTGAGTCTTGGCTGGGGGGTATGGGGGAGCTCAGTGTTAGAACACTTGCGTAGCATGTGTGAGTCGCATCCCAGCACCAAAAATAAGTAAGTAAAATAAAGTGCTAAAGCCTGCCCAGAAGTGACAACTGGAAGGAATCTGGTTTGTTGGGCTCTTTGGTAGTCTTTTTTTTTTTTTCCTGGAAGTTTGCCCTCAGGATTCAATTCTGATTTATACTGCTCTCTTTATGCCATTTCTCTGAAGGAGACCAGGATCTCCTGTGCCTGAATTAAGAAGGTTTTGGGAGGGAACCTTGTTTTTAGTGTCTTCATTAGTCACTAGCACATCGTGGTGACAGATCATGTAGCTCAGCCCAGCTCCCTGTGGCTTTTCTCTGCATGGCCACTTGGTGGTAGATGTCAGGACAGGTCAGAGAGGCTAGACCTTCTGCCTAAGGTTACTTGGGCTGTGCTGCTTATTGGCCACTGTAGGAGCCCAATTTTTGTCAAGAATAATCAGCTGCAGTAGATGTTCCCTTTGGCTCTGTATGGCCCAGTTCAGTTCCAGGGCTCCCCAGATGGAGGCATGGACTTGAATGGGGGCACTGACTACCAGTCCTGGGGCATCTTTCTGGTGGGTTAAAAAGCTTGATTCCTCCTCAGATGCTATGGCTAGCAGCATCTCAGTGTGAGGCTGGGATGAAGGTTTCCTGAGATGAGCAGACACTAGAGCCAGGAGCAGTAGTCTACGCTGCATGACAATATGGAAGCTCAAAAAGATCTGGATAGGCTAAAACAGGCCACAGGGCAGTGGAGTATGCAGCCCTGCACTTAGGTCTTCCTGTCTCAGGTGTGAGAAAATTCTGATTTGGATGGAAAGTCTGCACAGACCCCTCACTGGCCCCCACCCTGCCCAACATGCCACTGTAGTGAGGCGCTCCATTAACTGGCTGTGATACAGAACAGCCTTCTCCTTGCCAGGGTCATTTTCACAATCCCCAGTGCCAGGGAGAAGTTGGGAATCAGACTGGACTTTTGTTGTGGGCCTCTGTGAATAGTGTCCTTTGACATGGTCAGGTTGGTGGTGTCATTTGGGCTGTGTGAGAAGCCCCTCATGTGACTCTTAATTCCCACAGAAGTTATGAGCCACTTCTGTCCTGATGTGTTGCCCTTTCCCAGCTCAGGGAGGTTGCTTTTCCTCTACAGTGGCCCGTACCACAGTGATGAGCTGGTGGGCTGCGCCGTGGCTTGGCCTTCCAGATGAATCAAAAGAGGGTCTGGATTCAGGGCCCCAAGGTGAAACTGAAAGGGCAGAGTGCCGGGCATCATCTGTTGCAGGGTTTATGATTTTCCATGGAAGAATGCCCTGCAGTTGCCCTGATGTGCCAAGAGCAGCTTCTGAGCTGCTGACCTTGTGCATCTCATGTTCACGCCCATGGCACTTGTGCTGAAATTGTCCTCCTCTGGGCTCATGCTGATACAGGCCTGATATGTCTAACTCCTTATCTTCTTAGTTCTCCTTTTTCCTGTGTCTTTCTTCTTTTACTATTTCATTCTTTCAGGGGAAAGACAATCTGATCATCTCACATGTTGAGTTCTAAAGCAGGTAAATACGGATGTGAGATGTGTCCCTAGGGGCAAGCCCCAGCCTTCTCCCAGCACCTCAGAAAACACTGCTGTTTCTTGGCCTGACTGCTTGTCTCTCTCTCCCCACCAAAGGGTAACCCTGTCGGCCACAGACTGCTACATTGTGCATGAGATCTACAATGGCGAGAATGCCCAGGACCAGTTTGAGTATGAGCTGGAGCAAGCCCTGGAAGCCCAGTACAAGTACATTGTCATCGAGCCCACCCGAATCGGTGATGAGACGGCACGCTGGATCACCGTGGGCAACTGTCTGCACAAGACGGCTGTGCTCGCTGGCACTGCCTGCCTCTTCACCCCATTGGCACTGCCCTTAGATTATTCCCACTATATCTCCCTGCCTGCTGGCGTGCTGAGCTTGGCCTGCTGCACCCTCTATGGGATCTCTTGGCAATTTGACCCTTGCTGCAAGTACCAAGTGGAGTATGATGCCTATAAACTGTCTCGACTGCCTCTGCACACACTCACCTCCTCCACCCCAGTGGTGCTGGTCCGGAAGGACGACCTGCACAGAAAGAGACTGCACAACACGATAGCATTGGCCGCCTTGGTGTACTGTGTAAAGAAGATTTACGAACTCTATGCTGTATGACTCCAGTGAACAGGGAGCGGAACAGAACCACACAGCCCACAAAAGACAAAGAGGACGTGAAGGATTTAGATTGCCACAGTAACAGTTTGCCCTGTGAGGCAGCAGAGCCTGGGAAGGTGTTTGGTTTAATATTTGTTATTTTTTAAAAGAGAACACAGATCATGGGTGTCCCAAGGGTTTTTTCAGCTTACTACAAAAATGTGATTTCCATAATCCTGGAAGGAGTCTGGGGCTATGGAAGTCTTAACTAGCAGTGGACTGTGGATAGAAGCCAACGCTGCTGAGGGGGTATGAGCGTGCTTGGGGGTCTCTAAGTATACTGTTTAACTGTACCATTCGGAGCCAACCAGAAGCTATCAACCATTAAAATTATGAGCATTTCAACCCTGTTCTCTGTCCATGACTGCCTGCACCTGTTGCTACATGGAGACGCATGGCACTCTGGACATAACCCTGCCCACTGCAGCCAGCTCCCACCACTTGCAATGACAACAGATCTAGATCTGAGATCCTGCTGCCAGACCCTGCCCAAACATGGTCTCATGGCTCATCTCAGCATGTTCCAAGGGCAGTACTGCTGACACTGTTTAGGGGCATGGTAGGGTTAGGTAACAAGGCCTATAGGTTACAGGACCACCCTTTGGGTTCATTTGGGAATTGCAGTGCCCAGAAAGTGATTTAGGGGGACACAGGAACTAGCATTTGTGATTTTTTTAAAAGCTGTTTCTGATGTGGACCCATGGTCTTCGGTAAGCGGGGACCGAGGCCTATGCCCCCTTAGCCTAGATCTCTATTCATCTAAGGCTTTGGATGCAAAGTGCAAGGGCTGAGGCTCCAGTGCTGCCGCTGTTGTGGCTGAGCCACACAGTACTTCTGAAGGGCAGTGTGGACAGTACAGCTAAACTGGCCTTTCACACAGTTGTGAAGGCTGTATCCAGGAGGCCCAACCCACACACCTGGGGTGCTTGGCAAAGCTTTAGGGAGTTACTGAAGGGTTTGGGCCAGTTTGGTAGGGGAGATTCATGGCTTTTAAAAAGTTTAAGAAAATTTGGTTTAGTTCCAGGGGTCCTAGAAATACTGGCCAGTTGAGTGCTGGATGGCAGAATGGCAAGATGCACAGTATGTTCACACAGTAGCCTTTGGCCAATGGAATATTGGTGAAGAGGGAGCTGCCTTGGCCAGAGATCCTAGACAGACAAGCCTCATTTTGATTGTGCAGGCTAAGCTGGAATTGGCAACCACAAACCCTCAGGTGTCTGAAGGCAGGCTGTGAGCCTGCTGGGCAAGCACAGCATGGTGGGTGCTTCTGTAACAAACAGACCTAGATTGGAAGGAAGCCTGTGGCTGGCCCAGCTGCGCTCATTTTGTACCTCAGATTTCATGGGGGAGGTGGCTGGGATACGACAGGTCCTGGGACAGCAAGTCAGATGAGCAGATGCCCTTGTCCAAAATAGAAACCAGGTGTACACAGTGGATCTTTAGTTGCCATTTTCCAGGTTACACTGAACAAAGTGACTCCTGTTGGTGGACTAACCCAGATCCTGAAGTGCCATCTTCGTTACGTGGTTCCTGGCCAGACAGGTGAGGCCAGTGCTGCTGCCCACAGCAGGGCACGCATTGGTGTGCCTAACGCAAGGCTATGTAAAGGCACGCAGAAGCACATTTCCCACTTTTCTGCTACCCTTTGCCCAGACCTGACCTGTGGTAAGGACCCTGAGAAGTGCGTCGTGCTCCTCTGTGATGTGCTATGGAGTTTAACAGAGCTTTCAGTAAATGCCAGTTGAGAGGAAGCAAAGGCCATTTGTGACTGGACCCTCCTATGCAAAATCCAAAGTGAGTCCTATATGGACCATTTCAGAGAGCAGACATGTAACTAGTAACAGCCAGGGGCTGCTGTCTAGATTGTAAAGCTTACCTGATTTTAGTTTTCAGAGTTGGGCTTGGGCAGCAAGCACAAGATGGTCTGTTCCTGCCCAGGCACCAGGGAAATAACCAGCAGGCTTGATGAGTAAAGTGGAAAGTGTCTTTGAAATTTATCAGATATATGAAGGCAGAACCAATCAAAATTTATGCTTCATGGAGCCCCAAGCAGAGTTTACGAATGAAAGTGGACCTAAAAACCACTAATCTTTGAGGATAGAAGAATGAATAGCAGCAACATGGCTATCCATGGTGGCCCCTGCTCAAACACTTGTTTGAAAAATTCCAGAGCAAAATGAAGGTTGCCACAGGCTGAAGCCAGGCGACTGCTGAGCTGCCTTTGGAGGGAACCTCCAGGTGGGCACTGGGTGGGGCTTATCTACAAGAAGGCTGTCTCCTGCTGTCCATGCTGTCCAAAAGCTGTCCCCAGGGCTGCCTCGAGAGGTCCCATGTGTTAGACCAGTGCTTGCTTCAGGAAGGGACATTTCAGGATTATCACAAATAATCTAGGAGCAGCAAGGGTGATCCCAGGTCTTCTTTCGAGGCAGAGCACATCTAATCACCTATAGGTCCTCCTACTCCCCAGAAACTGGAAAGCCTTCAATTTCCTAACCCTAGGGTGTGGTGATTTTTATCATCTTTTGGGGCAGCTGTTTAAAATAGAAGCTTGATGGCTAGAGTTGGAACACAGTGCAAGATAATATGACACACTAGGTGGTTTTTATTCCAATTGGGAAATCTACAATGAACTACTATTCCAACATTCAGTAGTAGGAAAAATTTCTAAAACCTCAGAAATGAAGTTTTTTTACTCAGTGAACCTTAACCACATATTTTTAATAAATTGGAAAGGCAGATGCTCCAGTTAGTTCTCATTAAGGTACTCCTTACACCAGACCAGGGTTGGGTTTTTTTTTGTTTTTTGAGACAGGGTCTTGCTATATAGTTCAGACTGGACTCGACCTTTCTGTGTAGCCAAGGCTGCCCTCAAACTTGCAGCAATCCTGCCTCAGCCTCCCAATAGCTGTGATTACAGGCATGAAACACTACACCCATCTATCTAGGGTGTTTTAGACTCACTTCCCAGGGCTTTGTGTTTTAGGGCACCTGGGCTCATGCAGGGGTCTCTCTGGTCATTGTTTCTTTTAATAATTTCATCTTCTGCTTGAAGGGGTGCTAAGAATCCTAAAGAACATGAGGTGCTAGAGTTGGGATATGCCACATAATCCACCATACACTAGCTTGGCCTCCATGCTGCGTGAGCCCTCATAAGGCCCTGGAAATGAGTATGAATAATGAGTTCCTGAAGCTACACCCTTCATCCTCACGCGCCGGAGGTTGTTAACAAAACAACCAGCAAGGTGGTCGTGCATAAGTCAAACAGGAGAGCAGCTCAGTCAGGCGATGTCATGGCATCTCCTGATTACATGATTAAGGCCATTTCTAGGAGTTAGCAGGGCTGGAATTCAAAGGACACACAGTTCCTCTAGTCCTTTTTAGTGTTTAAATCCTGCTCCATATTTATTCCGTATGCATTTAACCCTCACCCTGGGAAGAAGCTTGTTGCCTGGGCTTGTTTCCATTCTCTGGGGACAGAGACCATGCCAAGGAAATGTTTCTTCAGTATATTCCCCTACTCAAGTCTCAACAAAATGCAGCTGTCCCCTGTACAGCAACCATGCCCAGGGGAGTGTTGCTCAGGTCCAAATTAGGAGTCCTTGGATTTCCGCTCCTTCCTAGCCCTGGAGGCCATGATGCTGAAGAAGAGACCAGGGGCCAGACTGCGAAGATAGATGGCCAAGGAAGGCACCCAGTCAGCCACGACCACCTCTTTCTTCTTCTTCCCCACGGCAACGAGAACATCCTGGGCCACTTCTGCAGGACTCCGGCCCTGGGCTGTGTTCCTATCCATAGCTAAAATAAAAGGAACACATGAACTTGGAAGCAGAGGCCTCACTCTTGAGGTCGGAGCTTAAAGAGCTATCAGGACAGCTTGCAGCACTCCCTACAGGGGAGCTCTTCCCACTATCAGAAAGCAGAAGCGTCCTCAGCCCTGATATTCTACCCCACCATTGTCCAAGACTGAGAACCAAACCCAGGGCCTTTGCTGAGTTATAGCCCCAGGCCTTTTTTATTTTTAGAATTTTAAAAGAGAGTCTTGCTAAGTGCCCAGGTTCAGCTTGAGCTTGTGCTCCTCCTTCAGCCTCCAGGACTGCCAGGGTTATAGACGTGAACCACAATGCCAGGCCCTGATGATTTCATGTTCTGAGGAACCATTTGCAGTTCAAAGTAGGTAAGTAGGGGTAAGGGACATATGAGGTGGGGGCTGGTGACACCATTCCACTTGAGACCAAAGTGAATCCATCTGTCTGGTGCTTATGGGAAAAGCAGAAGGCCAGCCCAAATAGGATCTTAAAGGGAGCTCCTTACACATCTGAGAAGCTTCCTGACCTAGGACATTTTTCCATCTTGCAATCAGTGACTAAGGGATGTTACATATCTAATTGTTTGGGGATGGCTTAGCTTCAGGGCTACCAGAAGGGAGATGGGGGACTATCTGATCCCTATAGGCACAACCAGCTCCCAAAGTCATGTCAGCTAGACAAAAGACAGGAAAAAAATCCATGGTTTGCTTTAGGTGATGGATGAAAGAGGTAGCTAGGAGAGCTTAGGACATGTGAGTCTGACAGTAACTAACGGTCCTTCTTCACTAGTGATCTGCTTTTTGCTGGCAAAGCCAGAGTAGTAAGACAAGCTGAGGGAAGACAAGCCACTGGCACGTGCCATGTGAAACCATTCGTAAGCTGTCCAGACTGCCCGAGCTCTGTGGGTCTGTTCACTGAGGTAAAGCAGAAAAATGGGGAATACTGATTGTTGCTTATTTTTAAGTGCCAGAGAGAATTTTTAAAGCAGTATCTTATCTTTCAGGGATAAACAAATATGAAGCTGTGTGGCTCCTGCCTCTGTGGCTTCTGCTGTGGAGAAAATTTGCTGTATGAGAGACCAGTACCAACCCAGAGGGCAGTCTTGCTTCAGACCTAGCAGAGAAGGTGCATGATAGCAGGCCACTGGCCAGTGCTTTAGCACAGACCCACAGAGTTCACATCCAGAGTGGAAGGACATACCGGGACAGTAGCAGGACAGGCAAGCCAGTTCCAAGCCCAGGGAGGCACTTGTGGTCCAACTCACCCAGGACAGCCTGCATCTGCATTGCATGCTCAGCACTGCCTGCAAATGAGGCAAGATGGAGGCCAAGACTACTGCCCCCCACATAGACTCAACTCAAAGACCTGCCCTGAAATCAGTTGTAACATTGGTAGGCCTGCGCAGCTCAAACCTTTCTGTTTGCCATGAGGTTAATTCACTTAGGCCTGATGGTGACAATACTGTTTAGACCTTAGGATCTGAGAATGGGTTAGATGGAAATTTGGTGGCATTTTAGATAAAGGACTTCCTTTCTACACTCCAAAGTCCTCAACCCAGGCTAAGGTTCTTGGAAGTGAAAATTATGCAACAGTCTGTATTTACAACCAAAACTTAGGTGAGGGTTTTTAGTTCAAAAAAATTTGTCTTTCAAATGAAAATGACCAAAGAATCACTGAGGAAAAAAAAAAAAAAAAAAAGCAACACTGTTGGCTGTCCAATAGTTTTTCTTTCTTTTTAAATTTTTAAAATTTTGTTTTGTTTGGAGACGTCTCACTATGTAGCTCAGGCTAGCCTTGAACTCATGGTGACTCTCTTTCCTCAGCCTCCCCCGTGCTGGGATTACAGGCGTGTGCCACCACGCCTGGCTTCCATTAGCTTTTCATAGGAGAAAAAGAACCCTGCCTCACCTCCATATCTGGACCCATCACCGGTGATAGCGTTTATGGAGAGATTGGTGTGGATATAGCCAGGGCTGATGACAGTCACCTCAATTTCATCCTGTTTTACTTCAGCACGCAGACAGTCAAAGAATGCCTGGGTTGCGTGTTTGGAGGCTGCATCTGTAACAGCAGAAAGAAGCAGTGAGGGCAGTGGGGTGGGCGAGGCCCAAAGCCCACCTACTTACTCCCGCTCATTCTCTTTACAATCTGGTTTCACTGTGTAAGAGGACAGCATTACAGCAATGTTCATCTTGGTTTTGAGAAGTACACTGTCCTTGTTCTTGGAAACACTGGAATGTAAGGGGGAAAAGGAACATCGTGCGTCTAGCACCGTCTCACATAGCTCAGAAAGAAAATGCGTGCATGTGCACAAACACACACATACACACACATACTCAGTATGCTAAAGCAAATGGGGAATCCACATGTAAGGTACATGGGAATTATTTCTGTCGTTATTACAACTTTTCTTTAAGTTTCAAATATTCCAAGTTTTAAAAAAACTCATAATGCCTATTAATATTCAGAATTGTACAAGTAAAACAGTGAAAGTCCTTATGCTCTTCAATTTTGATCTTGGAGGATGACCAAATGCCATTCCTTAGACTTTGTATGTGTTTTGTTTGTACACATGACTTAATGGAGCTCCTCCTTTTCCCACTGTGCCTACAAGTAGCTTTCTTCACCTGGCACAAATGACACAGTCTCTGTGCCAGCCCTACAGACCACCACAGACAACATCTCAGGTTCTCATTTCATCTGGCTCTGGCTTCCCAGTCTTTCTCTGGGGTCACTAGGTGAAAGACGCATCCCATGAGTGGACCTCAAGGGCTATTTCTAGTTTCTGTCATTGTAGAACATGCTACTAGTGCACTCTCTACACACACATGTGCATACAATTCATGCCTGGCTTCTTACATACTTTCCCTGACGAATTGCTGAATAGAACTTTCATCTGGAAGAGTCATAGAGCTTGCTTCGTCTGCAAGAGGCACAGTCACCTCTGCTTCTCAGCAACAGCTCCACAACACAGTGGAAAGCGGTGAGAGGACACAGACCCTGTAGGGATGCCCTTGGGGAGTACACCAATATCTTCACAGAAAATCAGCTTCCTCCATTTCAGAGTCCTAAATGTTTTTGGCTTAGTAAAAAAAGGTTATCATCTGTCAGCCAAAAAAACAGGAAGGAAAAAAGCCAGGAAATGTTACACCAAGCCACTGAAGTAGGTAGCTGTGGGTAGGTGGAGAGAACATTCCTGCCAGCTATGATTCCAGGACAGCCTAGTCCAGAGGACAGCAAGGAATGGATCACCCTGGAGATCTCTAGGATAGGCTGGTGGCTGGGTCGCCCCAAAGCTTCTCAAGCTGCAAATGCCTAGCAAGCTGAGCTGACCCAAGCCCTCACTGCTGCCACTATCACCTGCCCACTGTGTGCAGGACAGTGGCACTCACACCTTACTGATCATCTGACGTGGCCTCTCAGCAGCAGTGTAAAGCAGCTTACATGTGGGAAGGAAGCTACTTGTCTTGGTCAACCCACTTGTCCAAGAGGCACAGCCACTCACATTCAGTCTGGTCACTACACTGTAGAGATGCTAAACCTTTCAGAGCTTTCAATGACACAAACAGACCACTGTGGCACACATGCCCTGCGTTCCCCACCAGTTTTGTACACTGTCAGACTAATGACTTCGGCAGGCTGTTAAGAACTCCTGGGGTAAAATTAAAGTAAAATGTAGAAATAATTTAATACAAAGCACTCCATGTTCTTTACTCTGATTTACCTATTATTGTTTTGCCTTAGTTGCTTTATCATTTGTGATTATACACAGTTGTTTTTGTTTTTGGTTTTTTTTTTTTTTGGTTTCATTTTCTGAACTCGAGCAGACTGAGATGGCTATTCTATGAGCAGGTTTGAAATAGAATATGGGCAAACAGAGAAACCAGAGAGAGAAATATAGGTACAGCTCTTTTCAATTTACAGAGGACATCTCCAGTTGTCTCATTTCATCTTTAGATCAGCCGTGGGACCCATTCTCGTGAGTGTAAGTGACATGCAGAAGGAAGGAAATGGAGGGTCACTAGAGGTCTACATTCGACCAGAGCCAGCAGGCAGAGCAGGGACTCAAACTTGGTGAAAAGAATAAACTTGTGTTCAGATGTTTGGCTACCTTATTATCAAACTGGACTGTCTGTCACTATCCTTTCAAAACTCTGAAGGAGCTCTGCCATCCACTTGCTTCCTGCCAGGGCTGTCTGCACCCTGTGGGTGGTGAGAGAGAGAAGGCTGTCCCAAGTCTTTCCTTTCAGAGAGTGCAGCAAAGAAAGTGACGATGGTTTGTGAAATTTCCTTTAAAGTTTTTTAAAAAGCAGAAATGATAGTCTGTCTGCTTACTGGTATGAAACAAGAGGTGGAGACAGATGAAATGACTTAGCCACTCTCCTACATGGAGATGAATGTATAGACTGGAAGAAAATTGGTAAGCTTAATTTTTCAGGACTGTCTCTATTTGCAAATAAAGGCAGGCACAGAGAGGTGAGGATTCTTGCCCTAGGTCACACAGTGGGTAAGGAATAAAGCTGGGATCTGAACTCAAGCATGTGGCTTCAGAAAACCACATTTACATTTTGATGTTCCATCATATTCTGTATAGGGCATAATTCTGGAGAGTAAACATGTTTTTATAATCAGAAAAAAAAAGAAAAAAGGAAAAAAGAAAAATATTCCAGGTGAGGGAAGAAAGTACTCACAGGCTGAGCGGAAGGGAATGCCAATTCTGCCCTGGATGCTGCTAATGGCGACAATGTGTCCTCGCCTCCTCTTGATCATGGATGGCAGAAGCGCTGAAGGGAGAATGCAGGGACTTAAGATGGCACTGTTCTTCCAGCCACAGAGGCAACAGCCCCTCAGTGACAACCACGAGAAACCTTCCCCCTTGGAGGCAGGGGGAGCTGAAAAACAGCCTTGTGGAGAATGGTCAGCTCAGCACCTTCGTCTTATGGGAGCCTGTCCCTTGGGCTGGTGTTTATGGTACACAACACATCCCCACATTATCAGTTTGCAGACGTCATGAGAAGAACATGCAGGAAATGGTGCGCAAATGAGGCTGCACTGCAGAGACCATGAAGTGTAGGAATAATGCACATAAAATATAGATAAGGGCCCAAGGGGAAAGAAACGCCCCCCTGTGATGACCGTATCCCCCTGCAGCACATAGGGATAGGCAAGATGCAACCAAAATGCAATCATGTAAGACAACAGGATGCTAACACATTAGTACCTTTTCTCTTTTAACCCAAGGTTGTTACCTTTTGTTAAAGCCACAGTACCAAAATAGTTTGTCTCCATAACCTTCTTGTCCACGTCTACTGTGGTATCCACGATGGCCCCACGGTAGCTAATGCCAGCATTATTGATAAGGATGTCCACATAACCAAAGCACTGCAGAATCTCCGCTCCTGCTGCCACGATGGCCTCTGAGTCTGCGAGATCGAAGGTCACTGTAAAGGGCTTGTGTGTCTTTTTCTGGTCAAAAAAAAAAAGGCACAAATGCACCTGCTGAGTGATGTGTCCCTGGCAATGACCCACTGGGCCTGAAATGACAGCATGCAGCAACCCTCTTCTCAAAAGATGCAGCCTACAGGGCTCCTGCCTACTAGGTTCATACTTTACCTGGGCAACTGTTCTGAACTGAAAAGAACTGCATCCCACAAGAGGTGACCCAGAGTCCCTCTCATCTCCATTAGTCAGACTGTAAGCTGCCTCGGGCAGAATCATGGATGGCACGGCTGCTGTACATGACCAAAGGAGCTGTTAGTCTGGGCTCCTCATGTTGCTCTGTGTGGTCCATTGTCCTTGAGCAGCAACCTCTGTGTGGGGGGTGGGAGTGGGGGAGTGCTGTGTTTCTCAGGGTCAGGTGCACTCATTTGTTCATGGAATATTATTTATACATCCCTGTGTGCCAGGGGATGTAGCAAAAAGACAGACAGCATTCCTGTCCCCCTGAAGCACACAGTCTAGTGGGGAAGACAGGTTAGTTCTATAACTTTAAGGAATGTTATGAAGAAGTATAGGGTGTTAGAGAAACAAGTAATCCAGCAGTGTAACTTGGAGGGCTTTCCCACAGAAGTGAGGCTAAAAGTAACCAAGATGATGAGTGGGGGTGAAGTCAGAGAGGACAGCAGAATACACAGGAAGCACCAGGAATCTGTTTCTCCACTTGGAAAGATATACTGGCTCTCTAAAAACTCTCTAAAGGAAACTGTTTATCTTCTTTGGTACCTGTAATCAAACTCAGGACCTTTCACTTGCCAGGCAGCACTTGCGACACTGAGCTATATCCGCAAGTGTTTTCTGATAAACTGCAGAAATTTTGGTAGATTTCACCCATCAGCTTACTTGTGCCTAGCAGTCCCCCACCCCACGAGTTGGCAGTGTTTCAGACACTAGCAGCTGAAGCAGCTTGCAGCTTGTGCAGTGGAAGCAACTTCTAATTCAAGGGCCTGTGGCTGTTTTATGGGCAATCAAAAATACAAATACATTTCTACAAAACATAGCCCCAAAACCCAGACATCAGACTTGCTAGACAAAGACATTAAAAAGACTGAAATGCTGGGAGTGATGGCACACACTTTAATCCTAGCACTGACCTTGTCTCAAAATACAATCATACTTTAAAAACAGGGCTGGAGATGTAGCTCACGTAAAGGTCCTGGATTCAATGCCCAGTACCAAAAAAAAGAAAAAAAAAGAAAAGATGTCTCCACTAGGCCTGAAGTTAAAAGTATGGACAAAAACAAGAAACTATTAAAAAATGGATATATAAATAAAAAATTATTCAAAATTCTAGAGCTGAAAAGTATAATAAATAAGATATACGGAAGATATACAGGGGAAAGTAAACGAGCACACTGAAGAATTAGTTAACTTATAGAAAACTGAAATCATCAAATCTGAATGAAGAAAAGTAAACAGCATGTCTAAGAGATATGTAAGAGATAGATAAGAGATATACCAAAATTACTGCAGTTTATCACCAACACATATCCTGCAGATTTCTGAGAAGGAAAGGGTAGGAGACAGAGAGAGACAGAGAATATTGTAACAATGGCCAATCACCTCCCAGACTTGATGAGAAACATGAATCTATACATTCAAAAAACACAATGCCAAGTTGAATAAACTCGGAACCAAAATGAGACAAATTATAATCAAACCATTGAAAGTCAAAGGGACTTTGACTTTGAAAACAGAAAGAGAAAAGCAATTCTTCACATAAAAGGGTCCTCATTATAAAGTGACTTCTGGTCAGAAAGACCAAAAGGCAGGGGACTGATACATTCAAAGTGATAAAAAGAAAAGCAGTATCAACCAAGAAGTATACATCTATACAACTGTTACTCAAAACTGAGAGAGAAATTAAGACATTGCTAGATAAAGCTGAGGGCCTGCCTGGCAAGTGAAAGGTCCCAAGTTTGATTCCTGGTACCAAAAAAGATAAAAGGTTCCCTTCAGAGAGTTTTTTTTACTGTTATATAATTCTGCAAGAAATCCTAAGGGGAATCCTTCAAGTTTGAAATGAAAAGTAGTTGGATGGTAACTTAAAGTCAAGGGGAGAAATAAAGTTCTCAAGTAATATATGGGCAATTATAATGGCTATTATTGGTATAACTTTGGTTTATAAATCAACTTTTTGTTGATTTATAATTTATGTTACCAGGCAAACACTATGAATACCAGAAAGGGGGGACTACATAGAGGGCAGCTTTTGTATGCTACTGAAGATGACATAAATTTAAATCAGTGTTATACTAAATATACTAAATATAATTCCTATGACAGCTAGGTGTGGTGGTGCTGAGGCAGGAGGGCCACTGTAAGTTCGAGACTCACTTGGGTTACATAGTTCAAGGCCAGCCTGAACTACACAGTAAAACCTGTCTCAAAGAAAAAAAAAAACTAATCCCCATGGTAACTACAAAGAAAATATACACATAAAGATATGAGAAGGGAATGAAAGTGTTTCACTATAAAACAGTAAATAAACATCAAAGAAGCCTGGAAAAGAAGAAATGAAGGGCTGTCTTCTTTCATTTCTGGGACACAATATGCAACACCCAGAAATTAAAGAAAGAAAGATTTATTTTGGTTCACAGTTTGTAGAGGTTTCAGTCTGTAGTTGGCTGGCTCCAAGGCAGGGCGATATGAAAGAAGGGCGTCACAGGAGAAACAGCTTGCGGCATGATGGGGAAGCAGGGAGAGATCAAGGAAGAAGGGAGGGAGCTGTACCCATCAGGGCACCGCCCAGTGACCCACCCGCTCCAACCTGGCTTCACCTCCCAGCATCACATTTAGTTGTAACTCATCAATAGACTAGTCTACTGATGAATGTCACCTCCCCCATCCAATCACCCCCCAAAAGCCCTGCCTACAAGCACATAAGACTTTGGGGGACATCTATAATAGGGACCAAAAAAAAGCTAAAACAGAACAAAATACCAGTAGGTATCTCACCGGTAATTACTTCAGGTGCAAACAGATTAAACTCCAATCAAATGACAGAGATTGTCAGAAAGGACTTTTAAAAAATGACCCAACTATATGCTATCTATAAAAGGCTCATGTTAGCCAGGCATGGTAGCACATACTTGTAATCTCAGAACTCATGAGGCTGAGTCAGGAGGATCATCATGAATTTGAGGTCAGTTTGAAATAATGAGATCTTGTCTTAAAAAACACAAATAGGTATAAAATAAAAGAATGAAAAAAGATAGTCCATGCAAATGGTAACCAAAGAGCTGGGAGGAGTATACTAATATCAGACAAAACAGACTTTAAATCAAAGAGTCACAAAGGATATTATATAACATTAAAAGTTCATTACAACAGAAAATACAATAAATTATAAATATTTACGTTGCTAGTGACAGGCCCTGCTACTAAGAAGAAACAATATTTTGATACTTCAATACCCTACTGGTATGGTTTGATTTTAAATATCCCTCAAAGGTCCTTCAGCTAAAGGGTTGGTCCTCGGACCACAGCACTATAATGGCAGACCATGGAACCTTGCAAAGGTGGGGCCTAGTAAAAAGCAGTGAGGTCACAGGGCCTCCCTCACCTTGCCTGACCAACACCCTGAGGTGAGCAGTTCTCTTCACACTGCGCCCTCCACTATGTGCTGCCTGAAACTGAGTCAAAGTAAACTTTTCTTTCTTTGAAGTTGATTTTCTCAGTTCTTTTTTCATACTGATGAAAAGCTAACGCATCTATTTTCAAAAGTGGGAGAAACAACCAGATAGAAGATCAATAAGCAAACAGAAGACTTTCACAACACTATAATCCAATGAGGCCTGACAGATACAAGGAACTCTCCATCCAACAAGAACTGAACACATTCTTCTCAGGTGTGCACTGGACATTTTTAAAGCTAGCAGAGGAAGAAAATAACAGATTAGACAGGTGAAAAACTGACAACAGAGAACATCAATGGAACCAACAGTTGGCTCTTTAAAAAAAAAAGGAAGAAAGAAACACCAGCAAAATTGAAAAATATGAGCTAACTTAGAAAGAAAAAAGATGTAAATAACTAAATAACTAAAATCAGTTAAAGTGAAGTCATTACTGTTAACCTTTCAGAGGCTAAAAAAAAACTGAAGACAATAAAAGGTTGGACACAGTGGTACATGCCTGTAATCTTTGCTACTTGGGAGGCCAAGGCAGAAGAGTAAGTTTCTGAGGTGAACCTGAGCAACTTAGCAATATGTTGTCTTCAACTGATTTTTTTTTTTTTAAGAGAAAAGGTCTCAATGTTCCCTGAGTTCAATCCCCAGTATGGGAGGAAGGAGGGAGGAATCAAATATTTCGTACACCAATACTCATAGTAGGATTATTCATAATAGTCAAAAAGTAGAAATAAGCCAGGTGTTCACACAGATGCACGATAAACAAGCACACAGTCTACATATATAACGGCATCTTTTTTTTTTTAGGTACTAGGGATCGAACACACGACTTGCCAAGCAGGTATTTGTGCCACTGAGCTACATACCCAGATCCCCGATAACAGCATCTTATTCAGGAAGGAGAGGATACACAGTATAGCACGGATGAAATCTGAAGACATTTTTCTAGGTGAAATAAGGCAGTCACAAAAAGGCAAATACTGTGTGATTCCTCTTACACAAGGTTCCTAGAGTAGGCAAATTCCTAGATAAGGAAAGTGGAAGACAGTTTTCCAGGTGCTGGGGCAGGAGTCCTTGTTTAATGGGTACAGAATTTTTGTTGAGAATGTTATAAAAGTTTCAGGTAGAGATGGGGTAATTTTTATCCACATTATTAATGCATTTAATATCTATGAATTTTACATTTACCAATAATTTAAATGATAAATATGTAGATTTTTAAGACAGTTAAAACTTTAGGCATGCCAACCTCTCCTCAAAGTGAGCAGAGATTAGCAGGTAAAGAGTGGAAGAGCATTCTCACAGAGGGGACTTCCTCACAGCTAGTTGGCAGCCACACATGGACTACCGTCCCCTTCATGTGGAACCCTGCTGCCTAACATGGTACAGCAGGACCAAGAGGACACCCAGGTACAGAACACTGGCTCTTCAGGGGTCTGTGGAGGCAGACTGCAGCACTTCCCCAGGACACTATGCCAGCTTACCTGTGGGGAATGAGAGGCCATGAGCTCTTGGGCGAGTTCCTCGAGGGCCTCCACATTCCGGCCACACAACACCAGCTTAGCACCAGCAGCATAGAAGGCTTTGGCGCATTCTAAGGGAAGAGAAAAGAATCGTGACAGCTGAAGATAACCAGTGCTATTCCTTTCCAGTGCAGTTTGAAGACTCCCAACATTGCACAGTTCACGACTATCTTTTCATGCAACCCCCACGGTTCGTGAGTGCTGCGGACCAGTGTGGAGCTAAGATTTAAGGGACCAAGGTAGGGCTCCCGTGCAGAGGAATGACAGAAGGTGTGACAGATATTCACAAGGCAAAGAGGAGAGTGCAGGCAAATGTGTGCCATATGATGCTGAGGACTTTCCCAGGATTTAACCCTGAACTACCCAGAGCATAACCTTCATTTTCAAAGGTGACGAAGCTTCGCAAGTGATACTCCCAATGGGCAGGCAAGGAACACATCCCAGAGAGGGACAGGCAGGGCTGGCTGTCACCACACTGCAGTCCTGAGGGAGCTGTTTCCCAGAGAGTCCTCTAGGAAGAGGGAACAAAATATGTATAGTACCCAAGGAGCCAGGGGCAAAGGATGCTAGCACAGAAAGTGGAAGGTCAAAGGCTTTGCTAATCTGGTACTAGGGGTCAGGCAGCAAAATGCTGTAGAGTGTGGGGAGGCCAAGGGAAAACTAGGGGTGGGGGTGCGGAAGGGAAGGAGGAGAGGAGAGACCTAGGAGGATGGAGCTTTTAATGTGTGTGTGTGTGGGGGGGGGATTCCCAGGGGGATGTCTCCTGCTTGCTTTACCGCTAAATATGTCCCAGCTAACTGATCAGTGCCCTAAAAACTTTCAGCTACTGAAAAGCAGTGAAGCATCGTGGTCCAAAAAAGGAACTTCCTGTGTCAACTCTGACTTCCCTTGCTTACTGTTTCTATGATGATCAGTAAATTTTTTTTTACCTTTTCTCTTCTTTAAGATGCACATAAAAATAATGACTAGTTCAGGAAGAACTGTGAGATTGAATAAATTAATGCAACAAATCTATGGTTCTGGGCAGATAAAAAGTACTGTTTGTAATAGTGCTTGTTTTACTACTTACTAATATTTATGTATTTCTAAACTACCTTTTAAAACAGTCTTAAAATTGCAGATGAAGGCTTTTGCATTTGGGTATAAGGTCCTCACCTGAGGGCTGGTCTCCACAAATGCACAAGAGAAGGCCTTGATTGACCAGTGGGCCACAGTATGGTCCTGGACCAAATTTTACAGGTCCAAAAGGTCAAGTGGCTTCTTAGTCCTCCTGCTCCTAGAAGGGCCAGGCCTGCCCTACAGAGTAATTCCATCTCTGGAAGCCATGCTGCATGGGCTTAGTGAGGGATCAGGGTTATCATGTACTTGGCTGGGAGGGGACAGGGTCAGAAGGCATAGGCAGTGTGAATCAGATCTGAATATTCCTTCCCTCACACAAGTGTCAAGTTTCCTTAAATCTACATGGTTAACAGGAAAGGGGTCCAAATTCCAGTGTCTTTCAGGACTCAGGCCTGAGGCATCATGGGAAGAAGGTACTATGATGCCTGCCTGTCTTCAGGCAAGAAGGCCTCTCTGTAGCTGTAGCAGTACCACCACCACCTCTTCCCCCACCCTGCTCATCCCGCGCACCATCCTGTACTTCCCTCTCTCACACCCTTAGGAGAGACTAAGCAGATGACATGAGAAGTCTGTTCCTGCCTATGTCTATGTAGCCTGGCCTGGTCTGGCCACAGTATATCCTCAGCAAAGCAGCAAAAGGCCATGCCAGACACCCAGGCTAGAATTGGTCATCTGGTTTAGTTTGGGAATGAATTATTCCCAAAGATTAAGAACCTTAGGCCCTGTTGGCTTCCTCAATTTACTTTGTCCTGTCTTGACTAAACATAGGATATTTTGTGAGATGCCACCAAAAGGAGTAGACACAAAGAACTGAAGGTTGGAAGGAATGCTGGTATATAAACAGTTTCCGGAAGATGATCACCCAAATTCCACGTAAGCCATGCTTCTTAGTAAAGCCAAATGGGGAGGAAATTAAAGTTTCTGTAGGGCATGAGAGAAATGAAAAAGCTGATGCAGAAGGCAAAGAGAGCCAAGGGGGAAAGGCTAACAGTTTCAAGGTGGCAGTTATCTAGGGTTACAGTGGCGTCCCCCCTGCTGCTAGCATGCCTGGGCTATAAATCAGAACAGCTGTGCACAGCCATGTGCTTCAGCCTGGCTGAAGCAAGCACCCAGAACATTCTACGGCTGGTCAACAGTACTATTGTTCTTGTAGAATATTCTACAAGAATAAACTCTATGTAACTTAAATGCACTAAGTACCAGAAAAGATAGGAGAAACAGGAAAGCTGTCTGAAGACTCATCACAAAGCCCCTGGCCCCCAGAGTACAGTAATGCCACGGCAAGCAGAGCCACTGAGGGCAATATGGGTATGCACCTCAAGGAAGTCAGGCAATGCAGCACAGCCTTGGTGGCATGAGTTGTGAGTGTCTGTAACACTTGAGATAACCATTCAGAGTCTGTCTGTTCTCACTTTATGTGGATGGAAGGACTCCTGTCCTTAAAATGCTGTATGAGGCAGACTATAAACAGAGTGGCTGAGACCCAGGAAAGGCCTAACATCATGTATTACATGTACAGGCCTGGTTTTCTCAATTACATTTCCTATTATGTTCACAGTCTTGGGGTTTAAAGGCGATGCAGAATAATGAAGAGGTCAGCATCTTCCTGAAACATCCACATATGGAGACACCTGCAACTCCCTGGTGACTTCACACGAGGCAGCTCTCATTCTTCAAGGACTTTTTAAAATTGCTTTCTCTGAGATCAAGAAGCAGCTGTGACTATCCTATTTATATAAGCTGAGTAAGGTCAGAGGACCCGCCAATGGCAAAGGGCCAGGAGGCAGCTGTCCTTCAAACGTCTGGATATCCAGTGACAGACTCAGGGTTTACCCCTGAAGACCTCACCCAACAGCCACTATAGTGTACAAATAAGCCCACACAGCCTGTAAGGTCCTCCTGGGCTCTCTGAGTCCTGTGCAGCATCTTACTCCACAGACAAGGCTCTGTCTGCTTCTTTGATTTCATCCAACATCCCTTTGCTACCATGCTGCTTCCTTCCTGGCCACACCTTTGCAGGGCCATCTCTCCCCAGGTGAGGCTTTAAAATTGAGTTCTGGCCAGGCATGATAGCACATGCCTATAATCCCAGCACTCTGGAGGCTGAAACAGGAGGCTCACTATGAGTTCTAGGATGGTCTGGTCTACACAGTGAGTTCGATGACTGCCTAAACTGTATAGCAAGACCCTCTCTCAAAAAATAAAAATGAGTTTTCAAGTCAGAGAGAGATGGGTTTGATTTTTAGTTTTGTGCTTTCTGGGTAGTGATGGTAAATCTTTTAGAGTGTTTGATGATAATAAATAGCGCACTGTAGCACAGGTGCCATAGATTTGCCACTACGGTCCTAGGGCAAAAGTCAAACCTCTGAACCTTAAGTGTTAGAATTTAGTAAGATCACGCACTTTTAGTGCTTACCATAAGCCAGCACATAGAACTGAGATTTCCCCTACCAGACCTGATTGGAAACTCTACAACTACAGGAGTACTGTTAAATCTTTGCCTTTTTCCAGCAAACTGTGACCTTCTTAAGAGAAGGAACCTGTCTTTAATATTTTTAGTTTTCTGTTGTTATTGCAGTGCTAGGGATGGAACACAAGACCTCACACGTTAGCCAAAAACTGTATCACAAAGCCATGCTCCCTAGGTCCCGGGACCCTGGCTGTCATTTGTCTGCCCAGCACTTGGCCCAGAGCCTGGCTCTTAGCAGACACTCAAGAGGACACCAGCCATGCCAGCACCAACCTAAACATGCAGTGGCAGGTGGACTATAACACTGCCAGAGCTGCTCAGCCTCTTCTCTGGAAGTGCACTTAAGTGTGGGTGGTGCCATTATGATGTGTGTGCAGAGACGCAGGAAAGAGGGTGGCGACGTTACACCATGTGCCCTTTGCCTTGGCTGCCAGAGTCCATGACAGCTCTGCAGTGTACTGTATGGACTTCCAGACAAGGTAGGGCCAGGGGTTTGACTGACCCAGGTCTGTGTGCTAGCAGGCCTCAAAAGCGCAAGGTGTCATGAAGGGGAATGTACCTAACCTGGGGAATCTGGTAAAGAACAGCTGAGGCTTCAATTATCCCGTCTCTGACCCTGCAGAGCCCAGGAAGGGAAAGGGAAGAGGAAAGTGTGGAGAAGATATATTTTAAGGACATGCAAGGCTGGAGGTGCTAGCTGAATCCAGGAAACAGTATGCTCATTTGGTCCTCACCAAGGTAAAAATGCTTTTTAAATTAGTTGCCCACATTTGAAAATCAGATTTTACATCAAATCGTTGACGGCTCAGGAAGCAGCCAGAGCTAAGTTAGCTTCCCTTCAACAGACTCTTTACTTGCTTTCACCTCTCCACTTTGAGAATCAGGGCCATTTCTCATTGTGTGTAAGGCTCTACATTTTTCCAGCTAGACCCAAGGACAATGGCAGCCTGTTTGCATGTCCTGTAGTTCTGGACCAGCCAGCATCCATCCTGTCTGGCGTGCTCTCCACACCCAACAGTACTGACCGCTGACCCACCTCTCCCCAGGCCTGAGGTGGCGCCCGTGACCACTACCACAGCATTCCTCAGGTAGGCCTTCATGCGAATCCACTGCAGCAACCGGAAGAGACCGAAGATGCCCAGACAGCCAAAGAGCAAGGGCAGGATGGCTGTACAGGTGATCAAGTCCATGGCCCTCCTTTTCAGCAGACTTTTCCTAGAAGACCCAAAACCAAATCAGTAAATGACAGAGTAAGAAAACATAAGGAGAGTTAACAGAGAAGATGGCGGCTTGCTAGGTAGCTGGGTGGAGAGCCTCTCGTGGAAAAACAGCTCAGACATTGGAATTTGACAACATGGAGGAGGCCAAACAATAGAAGAGGGATTCTTGCGATCCAGGAGGAAACTGAAGGAAAAAAAAAAAATAGGAAGAGGAAAGAAAAACACAGGTGGAGAGCTGGAGCCGGATGTGCTCACTGAGACCGCTGTGCTGGGCGCACCGTGGAGTCTGACGATTGGAGTCAGACAATTCAAGGCTGTGGCTGCCGATAACGGGAGTTGGTGAGTCCTGGGCCCTTGGTGGGAGGATGTGGCGCAGTGTGGAGTGGAGCCAAGGTGGAGAGCTGCATTAATTCTTGGTGAGTGCTGGAAATTGGGTCCCGCGGTGGGTATGGCCAGCAGGAAGACATATTGGAGTTGGGCAGAACAAGGCCTGAGCCTGGAGTCTCGGTGGCATCAGTCAGCTGCCCCTGGCCCAGAGCAGACTTGTGGGATCTGCTTGGGCTGAGTCACACCCCTAGTCGGGATCCAATAGCCAGGGACGAAACTGTCCCGACCCTGTGACGTCCACAAAATACAGGCTAAGTTGCTGAAGGCACTTGCTGGTTGACTGGCTCAGAGGAGAGGGGCCAGCCCACAGTCCCTGCACGCACCTCAGATAACAGCAAACTGGAGAAGACAGCAAAACCCCACCCAGCACACTTCGGAAAAACCATAAGCAATATGGAGAGGGCCAGGGACCTCTACCATTCTGGTTTCTGAAAGAAACGAGAAACATGACAAGAGAAAGAAACAAGAAAAAACCACCAGCTGCTGATCCTGGGAAAATAAGCTCAGGAGAGGTAAATATAGAAGAGAATCAGTGCAGCAATCACGCAATATTGGCCACAACATTAGCGGACATAAAGAAATACCTTCGTGACCTCATAGATGAACTTGAAACTGAAATTCTAACCCAAATGAGGCAAGATATAAAAATATTGGGCCAGGCGTGGTGGTGTACTCCTGTAATCCCAGCACTTGGGAGGCCTGAGTCAGGCCAATGGTTGCAAGTTCAAGACCAGCCTGGGATACAAAGTGAGCCCAAGATCAGCCTGAACTGTGTAGAGACCTTGTCTCAAAAAGACAAAAAAAAAAAAAAAAAAAAAAAAAAAGATATAAAAAGATTAATAAAAGAAATGCTAAGCCCCTCTCAAGAAGACACAGATGGAAGCATGGAGGAACCCAGAAAAGGAAGAGAAACTTTTGGTGAAGAATATAAGCAAAATCTAGAATACATGAAACAGATCCAAAGAGATTACCAGGAAATTAAAAACTCCATTGAAAGCTGGCAAAATGACTTGACAGACACTGAAGCTAGCCTTTTGAAACTTGAAGAGAGATTTATGGTGTGTGATCATGAAAGAAAAGACCTATTAAAAATAACAAGGAACCAGGAAGTAACAATTCAAAGGCTAGAAGACAACAAGAGGATCTATAACTTAAGAATAAAAAATGTGAGCGAAGAAGCAGGGGTAAACAAAAATGAATTACAAAGGCTATTCACAGGAATAATTAAGGAAAACTTCCCAAGCATAGGAAAAAGAAATGATATTCAGATAAATGAAGCATACAGAACTCCAACCAACTACAACCAAAACAGATCTACACCCAGACATATAATAATCAAGATCCCAGAAATCCACAACAAGAACAGAATATTAAAAGCGGTCAGTGAAAAGAAGCAGATCACCTATACAGGAAAACTCATCAAAATAATGACAGACTTCTCAACACAAACTCTCAAATCAAGAAGAGCCTGGGGGAAGTAGTCCATGCCTGGAAAGAAAATAACCTCCAACCCAGATTGATGTACCCTGAAGAACTCTCTCAAAATTAATGGAGAAACAAGATGTTTCCAAGACAAGGAGGAATGTGGAAGTTCATGGCTACCAATCCAACCCTACAAAAAATACTGAAGGACATTCTAGAGATGGAAAAAAATACCAGGATTCCAGCAACAGTGGCAGAGAGGCCTCAATGAACAGGACGGACAGTGGAATAAAGGAGAAAATTGGACAAATAATAGCAGAAAAATAGAATAGCAGAGATGAGGCACAGAAGGTGGGCTATAATCTCTAATATAGATAGCCTTGATACACTAACAAAAAGAAACACAGACAGAGTAGATTAGGAGGCAGGATCCATCAAGATGCTCTGAATAGGAAATATACTCAACCTGACAGAGGGTTAATAAACTGAAAGTCAAAGATGAGAAAACGATGCTCTATGTGACAGGGAACCAGAGGAAATAGGGACAACTCATCCAGCAGCTGCAGATATGTTAGAAAGTCGTGACACTTTTGTGCAGTGCAGAACTACTCAGCTAGAAGGAAGGAAAACCTTGCGGCTTCAGTAAGTAAAAGAGTACAGCTCAAGATCAAGCTCAGGGGTAAAAAGGTTCAGCATCACTCAGACAGATAATGGGTTGACCCCTAATCTAAAAACTGAAGGGGTTAGTGGGACCCAAAATATACAAAGCACCCTGAGAAAGGGAAAGGGGAGGAACTGCCTAAAAAAGGAAGGCAAAGGACATTATTAATAGTGTATCAGGATTTAAAAACCACATTAGTCTTATCGTTCTGTTTAGTTTGATTATATTTTGTTCCGGTCTGTCTACTCATACTAGATTTGAGGGCACAGACAGCTATCCCAAAAACAGCAGGCTATAGTATGGTAACTATCCTTTTTTTTTTTTTATGAGTACCGGGGATCGAACTCAGGACTGCCTGCTTGCAAGGCAGGTGCTTATGCCACTGAGCTAAATCCCCAGCCCCTATGGTAACTCTCCTTAATTTCCTATTAACTTAAACTAAAGCCCTGTATTACTTACACTGACTTACTATGACTTACTTTGTCTTACTGTGACTTATTTGAAGCTGGTTTGTTAGACCATTGTCTTGACTGATTTTATTTGAATTTGGTATGCTTGATAGTATCAAGTCTAAGAGCAGAGGCAACTACTCTGAAGATGACAAAATAGAAAGGCATTATTGGAGGATAGATGTTTCTTGGAGGGCAACCCTGGGACCCCCGAAAGTATTTTTGACTATAGGCCTCATGGACACCCAGGGGAATTCAATGCAGGGGTATCTGTCAGTGCTAAGGATGAGCACAGACTTAGACTGCTGAGCCTGGTGCCCTACTATGTACATGTCATTTGTCTCAAGTGGGATTCTACAGTAAGCCATGGTTGGCCACATGAAATCAGGAAGGTACACAAGTGTTTGTGCAATGGTGTAGTCAATGTTTAGGAAATGTAACCATCTTTTTCCACAACTGCCCTAATTTTCTTAATTCCCCTAAACCTCCTCAGGTCCTCATTACTCACCCAGAAACTATGACCAAAGCAACAAATAAACAGGGAGATGAATAGTTAAAATCATGGATGAGCTAGTGAGAATAACATTATGTTCTGCTACTTCAAAAGAAATGCCCTAGTAAGGCCACGTGGTAATAAGGCCAGAGTCTATTAGATAAAGGTTTCCTAACAGCCCACATACAGAACTGTGGTGTTATGAGCACAATGATCCTTTGCAAGAAGCAAGAGGATGAAAATCAACAAGAGAGTTCTAGCAAGGGACAGCTGGAAGCTTTAAATTATTCATAAGTCTGGGAATAACTATGTAAAACCATTTATCTATTAAATGTCCTATCTCTTTAACTCTGCATATTTAAAAAACCACTTCCACTTCCTTTCTGCAGGTGACATCAACTCTGTACTCAGGGAATGCAGCTGCCAGGAATACTGCAAAATTCCACCACACATTCACTTATATACTAAGTTGCTTTGATCCTGATGCTCCTGGTCAGGACGGCTGCCCAAATCTAAGCTAACACTGCAAAAGGGTTCTGCTCCAGCTTCCACAGTCATTTCAACTACAGTTTAGTATTTAATTGTCACCTGCCTTTCAAAATATACCTAAATTCCTGATTACCATAAAAAGTAATACTCTTGGGCTTTAAAATGACTTTACCATCAACTGTCACTTTATCCACTAATACATCCCTCTCTCTTCCACTGAGGCAACAAGGAGAACAGCACCTCAAGTGCCATGCTTTTACCCCAGTGCTGCAGGCACCATCTCTGCCCCCAGCAAAAGTACTTAGTTCTGTACAGGTCATGCCAAGTCCCAAGTACCCAATGGGACCCATCAGACTTCATGTGATACCTCAGGTCCTTCCTTATAAGGCAGGTCTCGAGGTGGGATACCCTCATTTTCCCAGAATTGGCCACTTCCCAGGATGAGTGAAACAGACAGGGATGTGTTAGTGGATAAAGTGACAGTTGATGGTAAAGTCATTTTAAAGCCCAAGATGAGCAGGAAGGTGAGAAAAGGTTAACAGAGAAGGACAGCAGGGCTCAGCCTTTAGGGTCAGGGACAGAGATCTGCAAACTGTCCCATGGGCCTCTGGCACTGGAGCTGGCAGAGTTTGCACCATTTCAAAATCACAACCTAGGACTGAGCCAAAAATCTATCTAACGCCATTGGGATTAAACTCGAAGTATGCAGCTTATCACCTCTAAAATGCAGAGGTTCCAGAGACCATCTATAAAATATGCACCGCACATGGCAATGGCATGAGAATGAACCCTTGAGCCAGCCCTGGCCTCTTAGCAACCCACAAAAAGACCTAATGCTTTGAGCCTCGTCTCTGGGATTGGGGAATACAAGAGTCTACCTCGTGGGTCTGCCAAAACGTTGGATGAGTTAGTTACCTGGTCACTGACTCAGGTAAGTGCTCAGGGAATGCTGTGTCAGCAAGGAGCAGCACAATTCACACAAACTTAGAGCTCAATAAGTCACTTCACTACTATCAGACTTCTTCCAGGGTCCCTAAAAATGCCCTAGTTTATGACACTGGTTCTTGTTTGTTTATTTTAAAGGGGGTAAAGTT